TTGCCCAGGCCAGTATTGTGTTAATAGCGTATTGAAGTTGCCTGTAAATCTTTTCATGTTTCTTGAAAAATTCATTCCTACTGACTATAATCTTGTGCTGCTGTTGTAAATGGAGTCATCTCTTTGATATATGCCAGCTGGCTGCTGAGTGAGTGTGTATAGAGACTTGTGCCACACCCCCTTCTGTACTTCTCATGCTGTTAGGAGTACTTCTCAGGTGCTGTTGCGTTTTCCAGGTGCATCACCTGCACATGGTACTCATTTCACCTCCTTCCTCTCTCTGATGCAACAGCCTTGGCTGTTCCCTGGCCCAGAAGCAGGGTCAGGGAGTAGAGGGTGGTGAGCCCTCAGGAGCCAGACCTGTGCCTTGACCAGGGGTACAATGTGGGATAAGGAACTTAACCTTTCTGTGCCTCTGGTTCTCCATCTGTCGGTGAGGACACAGCATCTGTCTGCCTTTTGGGATTTGGGGGAGGACACAGGAGCTAATAGGTGTGAAGCAGTTGATGAGTAGTCTGGCATGTGGTAAGTTTCAGTAATACTAATAGTTAACTTTTCCTGTTAAGACAATACCAGCTGTGTGTTTTCTTTCCCATTTTTTCCCCATATTTTTGGAGAGTTGATTCTGCAACTTGCTTTCTCTTCATATTTTCAGGGACCTCTGCCTTGGGTATAAAATCATAGATGGGTGTGTTGCTAAGAAAAAGCTCTTGGCAACCAGTATTAATACCACACTCCATGTGACGTGTCTTCCTGTCATTTTTTATTGTCCTTTGACCAGGTGGGCTGGATGACACTTTGCACACAATTATTGATTATGCCTGTGAGCAGAACATTCCCTTTGTGTTTGCTCTCAACCGCAAAGCTCTGGGGCGCAGTTTGAATAAGGCAGTTCCTGTCAGCGTGGTAGGGATCTTCAGCTACGATGGGGCCCAGGTGAGCGCACAGGGCACAGGCCTCTTCAGTCACTGCCCGTGGGAGGAAGTGGGGGCAGGTGGTCAGTGTGGGCTTGCCCACAGAGCAGCTCCAGAACCTCCAGTAGGCTGTCATTGAGGAGAAGCCACCACTTAGGCAGAACCTTCTTATAAAAAGATAGCCTTTGTCTCCTTGACAGCATGGGGTGTCTGGTTCTGAATTGAGCTCTGTTCTGGGCTTGCTGCTGACATAGTGGCACCTCAGGCAGGCCCAAGAAATCGGCCTAGCCCACTCTTCCCTCTGGGGCAGCATCCCTGGTAGCCATCCATAAGCATAAGGTCCACATGACCCCGTGTCAGCCCTGCTTCTCTGTGGAGGGTGCCATTGCTGAGTTGGAGGGACCCGTGTCCTCTGTCGCTGGGCTGTTACCTGTGTGCTCTCACTTGTGCCTAAGGATCAGTTCCACAAGATGGTTGAGCTGACAATGGCGGCCCGACAGGCGTACAAGACCATGCTGGAGAATGTGCAGCAGGAGCTGGCGGGAGAACCCAGGCCTCAGGCACCTCCCAGCCCGCCCACACAGGGCCCCAGCTGCCCTGCAGAAGATGGCCCCCCAGCCCTGACAGAAAAAGAAGAGCCACACTACAGTGAGTGCTTAAGGGAGAGTCGTGTCAGGTCGAGTGTCCTCTACGTTATTTATCGACTTTAATTAGAGTCCCCAGGAGAGCAGCTTGATAATGCTGCAAGACCAGCTGAGTAGCAGGACCCAGTAAGTCCACCTGAGACTGGCTGTAATAAGGCCAGTCCATTGCCTAAGAGGTATTATCAGACTTTTGCTTGTCAGTGACTGTCTCAGACTTCAAGTCAGATGTCTCTTGACAATGGGTGGCCTTAAGGATAGCTATACCCAAGACAGGCTTGGAAGGCCAAGTAAAGGTTCAGTCCTCTCCTAGCCCACCCACACAAGGCCCCAGCTGCCCTGTAGAAGATGGCCCCCTAGCTTCTGTTCACTAAGGGGCAGCCTGGCCCAGCAGGCTGAGAACAGTGAGTGAATGCCTGCTAGGACACCTCTGAGCACCGTGAGCTGCTGGGCAGTGGCCACAGGCTCCCTTGTCCATGCTGCTGGTTTTCTGACAGGAGTCTTCCTACTGGTTGATGCCTCTTCCTCACTCGTGCTGTTTTCTCATTTTAGTTGAAATCTGGAAAAAACATCTGGAAGCATACAGTCCATGTGCCCTGGAGCTAGAGGAATCCTTGGAGGCTTCAACCTCTCAAATGATGAATTTGAATTTATGAGAGTTCTTGCCTGTGTATCTGTATTTTGGGTAAGGAGGGGAGGTCTGAAAAAGACTTTGGGGCTTTTTCTTCTCAGTTTTTCATGACAATGTAATTTGTGTAACTGTTGAATCTGGAAATTGATCAGCATTAAAGGGCACATGAAGCAGTGTCTGCAGGCATTCAGTGCTGCGGAGCCTGTTAAAGGTCACTCAGATGTGATGTGCAGGTGTTAATCTCTTCTAAAAGCCTGGTGACACAGCTCTGGCTTTCCGAGCACACTGTGGATCTGGAAAGTACTGGAAAATGTGATACTTAGAATACTTCGGCTGCTAAGGAAACTTCTTCTCCATTGCAGAATAGCTGAGCCAAGTGAGTGAGTTTGCAGATAGCAGGTGGTGAGCTCCTGCTTGCTGGAGGTGGCCGTGGAGGGCCATTCCCGCCTGGCAACAGCACCGTCCTGCAGGGAGCCACTTGGCAGAAGGATGCAGGGCTGCTGGTGTCAGAGCAAGAGGGCTACCGGGCAAGGGCCCTTTCTCAGGGGATGTAGCTTTTTTAAAAGGTTTGGTAACACTTGGAGGATTTGCTAAAATGAGCCTCAGAAGGGAAATCGGTTTTCTAACCTGTGACTTTTTGAAATGAATTATTCCTTTCAGTCTTTATTTTTCAAAGAAACAATGTGTATTGAAGTACCTAGATTTGTTTGATAATCAACAAATCTTTCCTTTTTAAATGAACATATTCTGAATGTGGTTTCTGTCTTAGGCCAGGAGGACAGAGTTTACTTTCATATTTTCCCTGTAAGTAAGAGGGCTTATTTATTTTAAATAAAGAGTAATTATTAAATTTTGTTTCAGACTCTGGTGATTTTAGGCTTATCAGTGGTCTCTGTCTTACTTGATCATTCGTATGTCTTAATTTATCCCCTTTGGACAGTCTAGGCCCTAAAATAAAAGGGGGCTGCGTAATGGGGATTCGGCTATCCCCAGCACTCCTAGGTCTGGAAGTAGTGATTGTCAAAAGCCTCCAACACCGCACAGACCTGCCGGGGCCAGATCCTGGCTCATCCCAACCTACGCTTGCGTTCTTCTCACCACAGCCAATGGCAGGAAAGAGTCTTCACTGCTTTTTGCTTGTCAGGTAAGCAGGGTATTGTTTTGGCTTTGAAAGTGCTCTTAATTGAATTCAGTCATGCCAATATTGTACCTCTGAGAAGTGGCCTGTGATGAGCAAATAAAATTGGAATAATGAGTCAGAAATGGCATGCTATGGGTAGGGCTGGAAATGTGACCAGAGGTTGGTGTATGAAGGCACTGTCGGCCCTGTCATCTGTGGAGCTCACAGTGACCAGTGTGAGCCTTGCTGTTCTTCACACATTCTGAGCTGTTTAGACATGGGAAGTAGATGTGGTCAGTCAGGCCATCAGTAGTCCGAAAGCAGCGAGTCATCTCCACCCATTTATCTTTCAGGGCAGTCAGCGGGGCCGGCAGGAAAGGAGAGGGCTTTCCTGCTTCCTCCTCCCCTCATCAGTAGGTAGCAAGTCAGTTGTGGTAAGTTTGAAAATAGGAGATTATTTGAGAATGAAAGTTCCAAAATTAATTTGTGGGGAAAAAGACAAAATCGCTATCAGCTGTACTCAACAGCTAGAATTTTAAAATTTGATAAATCAAAAAGTTAAAGATCTCTACAGAGATGAATTCCTCTGCTCAGAGCCCCTTTTTAGAGCTCTCTAGGTCTGTGATGTTATGTTTTGCTAATCTTAAGATAAAAGCAGCTTAAACAGAGTAGGTAGGCTTTTCAACATTTCATGCAGCTGCTGAGAGCTTTCCTTCTGGGACTGACCAAACTCTCACCACGTGGTTGCCTGGTGATGCTGTCATTTTCTTGGCAGTGAAGGACTCCAGCTGAAGCCACTGCTGCAGGTGACTTCAGCTCCCGCAATGTGCAGATGGTGCCGCATGAAGCACACAGCTCTGGGCCAGGGGCGCCAAGTACAGTCATTTAACTGAACAATGTACAACTCTGTTTTTACTTTTCCAGCAGAGCAAAGACTCAAAAATTCATCCTCATAACTACATTTCCCAATAGAACACTCCACATTATGAAAACTTCAAGTATATAATTATTTTGTTAAGAGTGAAAGTGCTCGAAATCCAGACTTTAGGAGAAGATACAGAGAACAGCACCAAGAATGTAAGTCCAAAGCCCATAGCATTTCATTCATCAGTTTGTAGTGGTTGAAGCCACACCCAAAGCAAGAACCACAGTGAGCTGATGGATATTTTACAGGAAAACTTCAGGTTATGAGTGTGATAGTTCTGTGAGCAAGACTGGCATCCTTGGCTGGATGGGCAAGCACACGCCTCACAGGCGGCTAGGCCTCTTGACTCGGGGTGTGGAGGGGGGACGTGTGGAGACAACCAGGGTGTCTCCGGCGTGTTCAGGACACCTCTGTCGTGATGGATCCTGAAGGAATTAGCAGGCGATGTATGCTGATCCCACACAAAGGCTGTTAGAGAACTTGTCCAGCCCCAGAAAGAGGGGATGCAAAACAGGTCATTGTCATACTGCTGGGAAGACACTCAGCATTTGCTAGGATCACCAGAGGGGTGCGGCTTGCTTTTAACAGAGGCTTTGGTTTTATGAGAGACATGAAAACTGTCATTCCACAGACAAGAAGAGACATGTGTATAAGATTAAAGGCTGAGCAGGTTTAGGACAAGTTCACACACACAGTGACAGTCTTCAGAGATACAGCTTTAATAATTAGAGACTTGAAAGCAGGTAGAACAAAACACTCATGACACTCATTCCATTGTCAAGAAATTTAATATGGCACCAGGAGATTTGCATAATTGACCTGTTTGGCTTTCTGCGACAAGCTCGGTGTCCTGTTGCAGAAGCTGAGCATTGACAGGGGACAGAGGCATAAACTGCAGCGCTTGATAAAACAGAGCCCAGTATTCTGAGGTGAGTGAAGAAAACACAAAGACTTGACAGATGCACTCCCAGATCGCATCTCACAGTCATTCAGGGTTTAAGGCAAGGCATTTTCATGTGGAGTCTCACCTTTTCTTGTCCCAGTTATGCATCTTAGAGTTCCTTGGCTAAGTCTGCAGGTGGGAGAAGCGGCAGGCTTGATTTGCATCAATAAAAGCAGCGATCTGTGCTGGCCATGCTAACCCTGTTGGCTGTTGGGGGTAGGGGCACTCTGTAAAGGGGAGTCACTGGGACAGTGTAGGATCAGCCTTCAGAGCCTGCTGCCTGACCCTAGAGGAGGAGCCTGCACACATACTGCTGTTTTAGTTCACGAGCAGCTGTCGAACCTGTTAGCCATCCTGGTTACCTGCTTGTGCCAGACAGAACTTCCTGTCCCAGGTAAGCACCTAATTTTTTAAGTCTTAGTTCCTGTCACAGGCCCACTTGGGTTCAGGGCTTCTCCACTGCCCCTGGGCTTCTCCTCCCTCTGGGAGGTACGCATCAGGTGGTAGCCCAGTGGCTGTGTTCAGAACAGGTTTGGGCAAGACAGCTCACAGTTGCGGGGGACCAGGCCTTCTCCGGGGGTGGCTGTGGTCAGTGGCAGCAGGGTCTGGTTGGGGTTGAGGTTGGTGTCAGGGACTCCTTCCTGATGGCTACAGGGTGTCCTTGCTACAGCTTTCCTGAAAGAACAATGTGGTCTTTGAATCCTCGGCGGAACGGATGGGCCTTTCCTGCTCTGCAGCCCAGTCTGTCTCATAGCCCATCCCAGGCAGAGCACTCAAGGCCTCGTCCCCATGTTGTGGTTCCCCTCCTTGGGGTCTGAAGACCCAAATGCCAGGAGTGGTTCTCCCATACGTGACGGGAAGACAGAGCAGCAGCGCATTCACTCAACTCCCAGGTTGTGCTGAGAGGGAGGAGGGCTGGAGAGAGAGAGGCTGTGTGTGCTGAAGTACAGAGGATCAGCTGTAAATGCCCAGGCTTTGGTGGCAACAGTTCGGGGGTCTGCTGGCAGCCACGTAACCCACACACTTTGACACACACATTTGAGTGCTGCAGACCCCACCCTGGGTGGTAGCACACACAGTAATGAATCCCTGCCTTTGCCTTCTGTATCAGCTATTTGGGAGCCAGGGCTGGACAACTCTGTCTCCATGGGGAGACAGGGAGCCTAGCCTGTCTAGGGAGCCTCTGCCCTGCTGCCTGCAACTTCCATGCCATAGCCCAGTCCCTGCCAGGGTTTAGCTCAGTAAGCCACTCCCCTGGGCCCCTCCAGCAGGTGCTGCAGGTGAGGCATCCAGCCAGGAGCTACCTGGAGGGTTCCCCACCTGTCCAGGTTTCCTGCTCTCCTCAAAGTAGTGACTGGCTGAGTGCTCTGTACAGTGGGTGGGGTGGCTGTGGGGGCCCATCTGACAGACAGCCCCCACCGGTGAGTCCCTCCCGATCTTGCCTCCCTTCTTCAGTCTCCTTTAAGGGCTGGGGCCAGATGCCCCTTCATCTGCAACCTCAGCAACAAGACATCGGATTCCCCTCGCAGGGTTGCAGGTTTCATAAAGGAAACTGCTCCAGGGCTAAGAGGGAGCAAGTGGGGTCCATGCTGAATGGGTCCCTTGAAAGATCCACCGGATGTGGCAGGTGCCCTGCCCCCGGCTCCAGCCCTACTTTCTTTGCCTGGCTGCGGCCACGTACCCACGCCTTCCTCCAGCTCTGCATCATCCGGTCGTGCTCCCCAGCCACAGCCCTCCAGGCGGAAAGCTCTCTGCTCCACTTCTCCTGGTGGGCCACTTCTGGAAGACAAGCAGGGTCCCCAGGCCATAGCTCTGTGGGCCTTTATGGCACCCTTGATGCCCACTGGCCACCTTTCTCAATGGAAAGCCAATAAATCCCAAACCCAAAATGCCACCGTGCAGGCGTGCTTTCCAGCATGTTTTTTTCGACTGCCATTGTAAATAGTGAAAAATCACCTCCTAAGAGGGTTCCAGTGGGCATGGGAATCACTTACCAGGTCTCATCACAGCAACCTGCACCTTCGAAGTCTTGTTCCCTGCTGAGGAGATGACAGAGCAGCGATACTCGGTGCTTTCCCTGATGGCGTCCTGCAGCCAGCTGAGCGCATGGGCCCTGCCATCGGGCAGTGCATGGGTCTGCACAGGGACACAGGTCTCCAGAGCTCGCCCATTCTTCTCCCAGACAACGTGAATGTCTGCAGGACCTAGGGGCACAGACCGTTTCTACCTCTGAGTCCACATTTAGAACCCAAAGAAGCTACCCCACGAGGGGGTAGGGGGGTTACTTCTGTTGTCCCAGCTGGACCTGAAGTGACTTGGGACAACTTCCAATTCAGTCCCTGGGACTCCCCTGGAGGTGGCTTCCCCACGGCCAGTGGGAGCCTTGGCCTTGGCCCCTGTCCTGTGGACTTCCTGCTCTTTGACCTTAATTACCATTTTTCAAAGTACACCTGTGTGGCCACAGCGTTGTGCTGGTTTCCTGCAGAATGCTTCTGGGCTTTGGAACAGCATCCCACCTCACCCTGGCCCTGCTGCCACACACATGTCCTGTGACCACATGGACAGACATCCCAAAGGTTCTGCCATCACCAGGGCCACAGCACAGAGAGGCCCAGAGCTTGGCCAGCTGTGTGTGGAGGGGGCTGGGCCAGAGTGGGGACCACGAGGGCCTGTCTCTCCAATTGAAACACTGGAACCTGTGGCAGGCTTGGAGGGGAGCACATGTCGCAGGCTGGAGGGCTCAGAGCCTGGCGGGGGCGGTGCCCGGCCCTGCAGAATTACACCAGGACCGCCAAGTGCAGCACATCCAGGATGGGCTTCCAGCCTTGAGCATGGACCCTGGGCCTGACACTGGCCACTTCTACCCCAAACCTCTGTTATTTTTCTTTGGGCTTTTGAGCTTAATTACTTACTGAAAAAAGTAGAGAGGCCAATTACTTCACACATTCTCAGTCTATTGCACCCTGCCAGAGTGGAGCCTGGCCAGCCTCAGCTTGTCTGTGGGAGACAAGGAGGGTGGGCGAGGCAGGGACGTTCCCCTGTGGCCCAGGCTGCCTTGCCTGGGGAGGCCAGCCTCCTTCCAGGGCAAGAAGGCTACATGGCCGACCCTGAGGGCTAACCCTAGACTCCGTATTTGTTCCAGGTGGCTGGGGTGGGGTTGTGAAAATCAGAGTGTTGGGGGTGGGGCGGGAGGGTGCCCACAAGCAAGTTCTGGTCATCAGGTCACCTCCCGGCCTTCCTTGCTTGTGAAGTCTGTTGGCCCTCCAGGGGCTGCTGGCCATGTTGGGACAGGCTCAACTCCCTGTCCCTTACTGAAGGAAAAACAAGCACATTCACTTTGATCTGCTTCACACACTGGCTTCCATTCAAATGCAGAAAGGGTTGAGGGGGGCCGTGCTCCCACTAAGCTCCAGCCCCAGAGGTGCAGACCCTGGAGCTGAGCTGGGATGGTGGGGAGGGCCAGGCCAGGCCCTGGAGGGCAGGTGAGGGGGTGCAGGTGCTCTTCTGTCTCCGGAGCTCCTGCTTACAGTGGGGCAAGGGAGGCTGGCCAGCCTACGCTGCTGCTTCTGTCTCCCACAGGTGCAGCCTGCATCAGGCCAGGCACCCCAGCAGCATGGACCGGGGTGACACCCTCCCACCTCTTGCCTAGTGACCTGGCTCCCTGATCAGCACCTGCCCTTCCTCAAGGGCCACCAAGGCCCCCAAGTGGGCCATGGGCCACCTAGACCAGCGCCGGGCATGGCCTCTGCTTGACCATGACACCTCATAAGAATCGGTCTTTAGAAGTTAGATTCACCCTAGATGCCCATCAACCTTGGAATGACACAATGAAGTGTGGCTTCGTGGAGAATGTTCAGCAGTGAAAAGGAAGGAGTTCAGAACACTGAGCAGGAAAAACAAATTCCAGAGCCAAAAGAGTCCAAAGTACCTGCACACACAGAAAAGCTGGCCTTGTTCTCAGGTGTGGGGGAGGGGTGCGTCCAGACACAGGTATTAAATGGTGTGGGAGGACCCACGCTTCCCTCCCTGGGCAGGACCGTGATGGCCAGAGAGCTTTTCATTTCTGTGGCACATGCTGGATTTTTGAAAAGAAGAGATCGCCAGTTTAATGAAGGTGACTTTAGTAATGCATTTTCCCTGCTTTACTGACTGGCATCTGCTCATCTTTGTCCAGTCTCTTGGTCAACAATTCCCCACTGTCCAGGATCATCAGAGAATGCTCCTCCCAAGGACTTGACCAAGCTCAGACTCTTTAGCTGGACAATCCTAGAAATGAGTCCCAAGGCAATGATGGGCCCAGTGAAGCCCTGTTTCTATCAGTGAGGAGTTGGGAAATGTCCAAGAAGGGGGCTGCAAGTCACTCATTCCAAGTGCCATCAAAGAATATTCAGCAACACAGAAAAATACTGTTACGTGAAAGAATAGATATGTGTATATATGTACACACCCGTGTATACATGTGTGAATGCAGATACAGTCTTGACCTAAAAATGGCTGGGATGCTGGTGGTAACTGCCTCTGGATAGTTAAATTTGGGATTGTTTAAATTTTTTCTTTATACTTCCCTGGAGTTTCCAACCTTACAACAAGCAAGCATTGCTTTTATAATAATAATTTTTTATAAAAGTGTTATTTTGAAGGAAACATTCCATAAACTCAAGGAAATTTGGAAGGTGCTCCACAACTGTTTTGCCTGGCGGCCCATCTGGCCCTCGCCTGGTAGACAAGCCCTTGTGAACAGGTTTGGTTTTTGTGCATAATTAAGACCAAAAAAAATCTTAACACTCTATAATTTGTTTTTTCCCCACTCAAAATGTTTTGGACTCTAACCACAGATAACTCCATATATCTATCTACAAATATAAGTACATATTACATGTCTCTATATATATCTAGGTGCCCATCAACTAGATAGATATTCCCTTCCCCACCTGATGGGCATCCAGGTAAAATCTCATTTTAAGAAACAGATTTTTTTGAGCTGTTATGATCAAGTAACAACACTTTTCTTTGAACAGTGAAGTGAGTTCCATAAAAGCCCAGTCTCCTCCCTCATGTGACCTGTACCAGGAACCACCCAGGGGACTGGAGTCACTGAGTCACAGGAGCGTCTGGAAGGTTCTCATGACCAAGCCCTTGAGACTAAGCATCTGGGTGGCCTGAGCTGGATTGGATTCATCACCCAACACCCCATCATGGGACCACTGACAGCAAAACCCTCAAAGCTCTACACTCTGGGGTGTGAGTAGAAACAGACACATGTGCTTACCACTGCTAACATGAGGCATCAGTAAATACTATTTAAATATGTGCTTGATCATCATAAGACATTAAAGATGTTAAAGAAGTACTTACGTTCTGTGTATTCCTTTTTAAACTATCCAACTCTTTCTGAATGCATGAGAGAGAGGGAAAGTGAGAGTTACCATCAGTGTGCAGGACCACCGCATCAGCACCGCACCCTCAGCGGGACAGGGCAGCAGCTGCAAACCCAGGTCTGTCCCATGGAGGCCTGCTGGGGAGCTCCTGGAATCCTGGGCCCCCAGTGGGGAGCTGTCTTCCATCTCCCAGCAGGGCCCCCTGAAAACACCACTGGTTTCTTGTTTGGGCCAGTGTTCCAAGCCCCCTAACCATCCAACCCTGTTACCTCAAGAGAGCAGCCAAGCTGGGGTGCTACTCCCAGATCACCCCCTTGGCCTCTGTGGGTTGGGGACAAGAGGCTGGTCTGATGCTGTGAGGCTGCCACCAACCTGGATGTGCCTTGGCTCTTCCCAGTGGCTAGCCAGGTGACACTGGTCGCACCCTCAAAGAAGGGAAGTTGTCGTGGCTTAGAAGGATCTAGGGTAGAGGTCCTGAGGACGGATGCTCCCCCTGGCCCTGCCTGTCGCTGCAACCCAGTACTTTTAGAGAATTAGCTTAAGTTGGAGGCAAATAAACTTTAACTGCTGTGGCAGATGCCGTAGGTAACAGTCTTCCTCCTGCAGCTGGGACTGTCGTGAGATGACTGATCACCTTGGTATAAACGAGGGCCAGGTTTATCCACCAGGGCTGGGTTTATTACAGCTACTCAGGAGTCGGGGGAGGCTGCCGGCGATCTGGGCTCCAGCACTCGCCTCAGCCTGTCACTGGGGCACCTCCCATCTGCTCACCCCCACCCCAAGCCTCTAACAGGGCCAGCTGGTGCCAGGACCACCATGGCTTCAGAGCTTTGTGGATGTGATCACAAAATGTGGAGCTCATTCTACTCTGTGACAAACCAGGTGCCCCTTGAGCAGTGGCCTTGCCCTGAGGAAGGCCTGGAGGGGTAGTGAGGCATCCACCCAGTGACTGAGTTGCCCAGGCCCATCCTGACAAGTGCCCCCACTGCCATCCCCTGCAGCAGTCCTCTGTGTCCTCCCGCCATCCCCATGCTTGTGGCCCACTCCGACCTCAGGACTGGCTGCCTCAGGGCCAGCCCATCTCCCAAACTCACATCCAGGTGGCCTTCCTGCAGCTAATGGGGCAGCCGGGCACCTCCCCAGAGGGACCATTCTCTGCACACGGTGCTGGCTGCTGGCCATCATGTCTTTCATGACGGGACTCCTGGCTTGTCCCTGCCCATTCCTGCTGCCCAGGGAGTCACCCTGACTCCCGCTCCCAGCCTCTTTTCCTGAGGATCCCACTGCTTCCCTGGCCCATCTCTGTGCTCTCTCCTTGGGGCAGGGTCTTTTCTAATCCTGGCCCTGGCCCCTCCTTCCTCCCAGACTCTGGGGACCCTTCTGGGGACAAAGACAGTGCAGCTGGGGTATGCCCTGAGGCCCTGTTGGTCATCCTTTCTGTCCTCTGTTGAAGTTAGAGAGTAGCCAGGGGTCCCAAGAGGAGGGAGGAGGGAGTGAGACCCCTGCCACACAGGTAGCAATTCTGACAGCTCCCTTCTCTGAGTCCTCATCTCCCTGACAGTCACCAGGCTGACGCAGCCTAACGTTTCACTCAGGTACGCTCTGATCACTCAGGGCACTGGACCAGCCCCAGTGCTTCTGGAAAGCACTAGTTTATGCCTGCCACTTACTGGCCAAGTCGCCTTATCAATGTGGGCAGGAATTCTGAACTTCTCTGCAAAGGCATCTGAGCAAGTACCACTGAGGCACCTGCAGGCATTGCCTGGCTCCATGGGGGGCCTGTGGGAAGGCACTACTAGGCACCGAGGGCATTTCCAGACCCCAGGTAACCAGACAGCTGTGCTGTAAAGGCACGTGGAATTA